ACGTTTGCGAATTTCTCATTGTGGACAATGCAAGACGATCCAGGCGCGGCAGCGCGCTCGAGCGCGGACGTACGCGCGTCGCACGCTGTTCCATTTCATCAACACGTACGAAAACCATGCTAACTTCGAAATCCAACTGGTCACTGCTAAGGGTTCACTTTAGTTTCCAAGTCAACATGGCGACTTGCGTATTGTGGACAATACAAGGTTCACCACGAGTGGCCGCGCGCGCGCGCGCACGCGCGTCGCATGCTGCTCCGCTTGACCAACATGTGCGAAACAAGCAATGTGAACTTCGACATCCAAGTGGTCACCGCTAAGGGTTCGCTGTAGTTCCCCAGCCAGCATGGCGACTTTTGCCTATTGCGGGCAATGCAAGGCTCACAACGAACGGCCGCGCGCGCGTACGCGCGTCGCATGCTGCCCCACTTGGCCAACATCTACGAACAAAAAACATGTTAATTTCGAAATCCAACCGGTCACCGCTAAGGGTTAGCTTTAGTTCCCCAGCCAACCTGGCGACTTTTGCATATTGCGGGCAATGCAAGACTCACCGCGAGCGGCCGCGCGCCCGCGCGTACGCGCGTCGCGCGCTAATCTACTTGATCAACACGTACGAAAACCATGTTAACTTCGAAATCCAATCGGTCACCGCTAAGGTTCCACTTCTGTTTCTTGGCCAGCATCGCGACTTCCCCATTGTGAACCATGCAATGCACGCCACGTGCGGCCCCGCGCGCGCGCGTGCGCACGTCGCGCGCTGCTCTTCTTGACCAGCAGGAATCAACACTATGTTAACTGCGAAACCTAAGCGGTCACCGTTCAGGGTTCGCGTTAATGCGCAGGCCATCATGCCCATTTTTGCATCGTGGACAATGCAAGACTCACAACTCGCGGCCGCGCGCGCGAGCGCGCACGCGCGTCTCACGCTGACCCAGTTGATAGACATGCATGAAAACTATGTGAACTTCGAAATCCAATCGCCGCCGCCGCCAATCGCACGCGAGTGCGCGCGCGCGTACTCGCGTCGCGCGCTGGCCCACTTGATCAACATGTACGAAGAAAACCGTGCTCACTTCGAAATTCAATCGGTCACCGCTAAGGGGCCACTTTGGCTGACAGGTCAACATGGCGACTTCCCCACTGTTGACAGCACAAGGCTCACCAAGCGCGGCAGCACGCGCGCGCGCGTACGTGCGTCGCACGCTGCTCCATTTGATCAACACGTACGAAGACCATGTTAAGCTCGAGATCCAATTGGTCACCGCTAAGGGCTTACTTTAGTTTCCTGGCCAACATGGCGACTTTCCCATCGTGGACCTTACAAAACTCACCCAGACCGGCCGCGCGCGCGCGCGAACTCGCGCCGCACGCTGCTCCATTTCATCAACATTTACGACAACAACACGAACTTCGAAATCCAGCTGGCCATCTCTAAGGGTTCACTTTAGCGTCCAGGCAAACATGGCGACCTTCCCATTGTGGACAATGATGCCACATGCGGCCGCGCGCGCACGCGCGCTGTACGCTGCCCCAATTGACCAACACGTACGAATAAATGTTAACTTCGAGATCCAATCGGTCACCGCTGAGGGTTTAATTTAGTTCCCAAGCCAACGTGGCGACTCTCCCATGATGGACAAACAAGACTTACCGCGCGCGCGCGTGGGCGTGTCGCCCGCCGCTCCATTTTTGCTCTTTAAGGCCAATCGGTCACCGCTATGGGTTCACGTTAGTTGCCAGGCCAACATGGCGACTTCCCCACTGTGGACAATGCGGGACTCACCAAGTGCGGCCGCGTGCGAGCGGCCCCGAATGGACGCCATCAGGGCCCCGCCCCCCCGCGGGTGCACCGCCTGGGGGATGGCCGAGGGCGCCCCGCCCATCCGGCGCCCTCCTCAGGGCCGCGCCCAACCGTGAGTGGGGAGGCAAGGAAGACGTGCCCAATGATTGGCGCAGGTACATTGCGCGTCGCGGATCCTTGGGGCCGCGCCCCCCCGCGAATGCAAAGACGGCAAGGTCGGGGCGGCGGATGGCCGAAGGTGCCGCGCCCATCGCGCATCCTCAAAGCCGCGCCCAACCGTGAGTAGGAGAGCAAGAAAAACGTGTCCAAGGATGGGCACAAGTGCACTGCGCGTCGCGAATCCTTAAAGGGCCACTGCCCCCCGCGATTGAAACGGCGGGAACTCCGGGCCCGAGGATGGCCAGATGCGCCTTGCCCATCGCGCATCCGTTAGGATTGGCCCCCAGGGGGCGTCGCGCCGCGCGCCCGATGGGGCTGGCCAGCGAAAGTTGCCAGGGATGGGCCGAAAGGGCAAAGATGCAAGGGCGCCCTGGGGCAAGTTGCGCTTCCTTACTCTGCGGCTTGATTGTGCTTAGACTTAGACCCAGCTTAGGGCCATCGGGGCCATCTTAGGCCATGTTATGGCCAACTTAGGGTCGGCTTAGGGTTAGGTTGGCCCCATCTTAAGCTAACGGCCAGCTTAGGGTCGGCTTATGGCCAGCTCGGGGTCGGCGTAGGGTCAGCGTAGGGTCAGCATAGGGTCAGCTTATGACGAGCGCAAGGTCAGTGCAGGGTCAGCTTAAGCCCAGCTGAGGGTCTGCTTCGGGTCATCTGAATTTGCCAACCCTAGGGTCAGGTTCAGGCCAGCGTATTGCCAATTTAGGGCCAGCTTAGGCCATGCTAAGCGTCGGCTTAGGGCCAACTGAGGGCCAGGCTAAGCCCAGCTTAGGGTTGGCTTCGGGCAAGTTCAAGGTCAGCTTAGGGCCAGCTTGGGGCCATTTAAGGGCCAGCTCAGCCCCATCTCAGGCCCAGACTAAGTCCAGCTTAGGCCCAGTGGGCCACCTTAGGGTCAGCTTAGGCGCAGCTTAGGGCCAGAATAGGGTCAGCTCAGGATCATTTTAGGACCAGCTTAGCGTCAGCTTAGGGTGAGCCAATGCCCAGATTAGGGCCAGCTAAGCCGACCCTAATATGCACCCTAAGCTTGGCCTAAGTTAACTGACCCTGCATAGACCCTATGTTGACACTAAGCTGTGCCTAGGGTGACCATGCGCCAACCCTGAGCTGAGCCTACCTAAGCTGGCCACCCGTCATGTCATCGACATTGGCTCCTGGGGCTGAGCACACGCAGAAAGTGTTGCAAAACATTGCGAAGCGCCAAAATTGAGGGGGGGGAGATTTTTGCCCAAAGTGACACATTGCTTCCCCTTCAATTTTGGCGTCTCGCATTCTATTTTACAGCGCTTTCTGCGTGCGCTCAGCCCCAGCAGCCAATATCGATAACATGACGGGTTGGCGGACGGCGAGGGGAGGAGCGCAGGTTGGCCCGATGATCGGCCTTAGCCGACCCGAAGTTGGCCCTAAGCTGGCCTTAAGCTGGCCCGACGCTGACCCTAAGCTGACCCTAAGCTGTTCCTAAGCTGGCTCTAAGCTGGGCCTACGATGGGCCTATACTGCCTTAGGCTGGCATTTAGCTGACACTCAGCCGGCACTAAAGCTGACCCCAATCTGGCCTCAAGCTGCCCCCAAGAGCCCTGACGGAGCCCCCCGAGAACACCCCAGGAGGCCCCCCACAGGGGCTTCACGACTGCGTGATCCGAAAGATCGCCCAAGCTGTCCCGCAACCCAGGCACAGTGGCGGGACGGGCCGAAGGCCGTTAGGATAGTAAACATCTTTGGGGCAATGTCCATTTGGGCCAGGCGCGCGAGGAAGTCCCAAGTCGAGTTCAGCAGAAGTCGACCTCAGCATTCGCGCAGGCGGGACGGAATGCAAAGTCGGAGGCCGAAGGTGTGGAGGAGTGGCGAGGGGGAGGGCGGCGAAGGAGGGGGAGGGAGGGCGGATATGGGATTCCCTGCGCACTGATCTACGTGGACGGGCACCTGTCGTCCGGGGCAAGGCTCGTTGTAGTCCAGAGGGGGCAGTGTAGTCCGGGGGTGGGGCCCTTGTCTACTCCTCTTTCTCCTCCTCCACCTCCTCCTCAACCTCCTCCACATCCTGTTCCTCCCCCTCCTCCTCCTCCTCTTCCTCCTCCTCCTCCTCCTCCTCCTGTCTGCGCGCGGAAGCTCGAGCAACGCGGCCCCCCCCCGCTGCTAGCCTGGCCGCGACTGCTTGTGGCAACCGACGGGTTGGAAAGTGACGAATCCCCCCTCCCGGGAAAAATTGCCCCTTCATGGCGCCCAAATAGCAGCTGGGAGTGCAAGCGATAAGGGTGATGTTGCATGATATTGCTGGCGGTGTTTATGATGCTGATGATGGTGATGAAGACGCCCTCGGTGCTGAACAGTGTCGTTGCAGCCCCTGCTCCCTGGTCTAGGCTTAGGGGCCAGCTTAGGACCAGTTTAGGACCAGTTTAGGGTCTGCTAAGGCCCAACTAAGGCCAAGCTTAGGGTCAAGGTAGGGCCAGCTTAGGCCCAGCTGAAGGACAGCTTAGGGTCTGCTTAGGAGGGTCATCGCAGGGCCAGCTTATTGTCAGCTTAGGGTCATCTTAGGCCCAATTTAGGGTCAGGGTCGGCTTAGGCCCAGCTCAGGGTCAGCTGAGGGTCAGCTTTGGGTTAGCTGGGGGTCGGCTTAGGCCCAGCTCAGGGTCAGCTGACGGTCAGCTTTGGGTTAGCTGAGGGCCAGCAAGCTTAGGATCAGCGCAGGGTCAGTTTATGGTCAGCTTGGGGACAGCCTAGGGCCAGCATAAGGTCAGCGTAGGGTCAGCTTCAACCCAACTTAAGCCATCTGAAACCCAGCTTAGGGTCCGCTTAGGGTCTGGTTAAGGGTCAGCTTAGAGTCAGCTCCGGATCAGTCAGCTTAAGCCAAACTCAGGATCACCTTGACGTCTTCGTAGGGCCAGCTTAGGCCAAGCTTAGGACCGTCGCAGGGTCAGCTTATAGCTCAGGGTCAGCTTAGGGCCAGCTTGGGGTCAACCTGAAGGGGGTCTCTCGGGGAGCTCTGGGCTGTCTCTTGAGGGGCTCCGGGGGGGAGGGTCTCCGGGGCCTCCAGGGGGCATGAATCCTTACCCCGTTGAGAGCGAGCGCCTTTGCAAGGTCCTCTGCAGCGATCTCGCCGGAGGTCATGAAAGCCAGCACCTCTCGCTGGCGACGGTCACGTTGAGGCACGTCAGGTCCGATGTACCTGAGCAGCTCCTCGACGCGATTCGTGGCCCACTTGCAGTCGACCACGCGAAGGGACTCGCACAACGCAGACGCGGCCTCAAAGTGTGTGTTCATGAAGCCATGCGTCACGTAGATTTTCCGCTTCACGCTCGTAGCTTTAAAGTAGCCCAGGCAGGCCCCTTGATGCCCATTGCTCGAGATGTACGCTGGCGTAGCCAAGGAGGCCCCGTGCAAGCCCGCGCTCAAGAGTACGTGGCACGGCGCTCTGTCTAGATGTTCAGTGACGATGATATCTGCCTCCAACAGCTGCTCCACCTGCAACGCGCCGAGACCCGCTGGACGGGCCTGCGGCAGGGGAATCACGTCCAAAGAGAAGATGCATGAGCCAGCGATGTCTTCCTGCTTTTTCTGCAGCAGGACCCTTTTGCGGGCTTTGGTCACCTGAAGTTCCTTCTGATTCAATGTCAATTTAATCAGGTGCTCGCGCGCTTGGTCGACCAGCTCTGGCGTGACCACATCTTCCTCCAAAAAAACCAGTGAGATAAGCTTCTACCTTGGCCTTGTCGATCTTCTTCTGGTTGAAGAGCATCTCTTCCAACTGCTTGTCGCTCAAGTCGCCGAGCGTGACCGCGCTCTCCTGCTTCGGTAAGATGTCGCCAACAGGGCCCGAGAGTGAGGACGTGATGGCGTTCCGCATCCGAATGAAAGCCGCCCCTGTGTCGTCGCGGGTTCTTTTTGGCATCGGCAAACCTTTGTGTTCACGTGGCCGCTTCGTCACCCGGGCGCGACCGAAATTCTCGAACCACTTCTTGCCTGCTCGTTTGATCCAATCGTCCAGGTCAGCTAACGGGTCCATCATAATGGTAATCACGTCGAACTCACGGTCGGTGAAGGTGTCATCGCATTGCCCACCTCGCAGAGCAGTCATAGCCGAGGAGCCTCGTTCAACTTTTGATGACGAGCTGCCCCAAGCTGCCAGTCGTGCCAGCGCTGCCAGAAGCGTCGATGCAGAGTGTGCTTCCCGTGTGGATGTCCGCGTCTGGGTTCGACGGACTGCTTCTCGCCATGCTGCCAAAGTCGAGCACGAAGCTGACGCAGTCAGATGTTTAACGGCTCGCGCATGGAAGTGGTGGAACTCACGAATCAAGTCTGCTGCGCAGAGGTTGAGGGCCAGGGCAATTCGGCTCAAGCACTTATTGAGCTCCTCAATGCTACCGCTGCCAACGTTTCCCTTCGATAAGCTGAATGCCCTGAAACTCGCTAGCAAGTCCCACTGCGGAAACTCTGCCTCTACAACTTTTTTGCGCGGCAAAGACATCGTGCTCATGCGACGCAAGCATCGCGTGACCAACACGGGGTCAAGCTCTGACGAACTCCCAATCGTTTTCGGCCTGTCGGAGAGAATAACCGTCCGAGGTCGTCTCAATGTTTTGATCATGATTGAAGTTGGCCCAGGTACTTCCAAGCAAAGGCCGTTCGCGAACAGCCTGTGCATCGTTCCTCCGAGTGATACCAAAAGACACCAGACAAAGAGCCAGCTAACAACGCGAATCGAATCCCAAATCGACTCCGCCCTCCTCCCTCCTCCCTCCTCCTCCTCCGCCCTCCTCCTCCTCCTCCCTCCTCCTCCTCCTCCTCCTCCTCCTCCGCCCCCTCCTCCTCCTCCTCCTCCTCCTCCCTCCCTCCTCCCTCCTCCTGAAGGAGGAGGAGGAAACGACTCATTCCGAGCCGGAGGGCGGACTGTGGCGGAGCTTTGTTAGGGCCGCATCCTGCAAAATTGTCAACTTCGTTGTTGATCTCCGCTTCGTCGAAGTCGTCGGGGTCGAGCAGCGAGACGAGCTTGCCCATCTCGATGAACATGTCGCCCATCATCGCCATCTGCAGCGCCTGCTCCTCGTCGGCCGGAGTCGGCGTCTGAAGGCAACGTGCCCCCTCGGGGCTCGTTTGTCCGCGAAGCGAGATAGTCTGCGCAGCTGTGGTCAATGCTGCGTCGAAACATGTGACGAGTCTCAACAAAGCTGCGCTCTCTGCATGGTAGCGATGGGCAGCATATTGGAAGTCCCTGATCCGCTTGCTAGTGATAATCTCCTCGCCACATTTCTCTCGGTTGGCGGTGGGAATGTCCTTCACCTGCGGTATGAACTGGATTATCTTGGTAATCGAGTCTTTCTTCTCGATATACTCATACATGATATTCTGCAGGTAGGGGCCGGTCTTAAAGGGCCGCGACGAGCACCTCTGGCGAAGGGGGCGCAGAGGTGGATGTGGAGGGGAATCCCCCGGGAGATCAGTGAGGAGGTATATGATGGATGGCCCTCTTGGGCCATTTTGGCCCGTCTTGTCCCCACCTAGGCCCTGCCTAGAAGGGTTCTTACCCTCTTGGCTTAAAGGGCCGGGCAGTGTAAATCGCCCCGGGCGGTTCCCCCAGGATCCGCCCAGCGGTTCCCCCAGTTACGCCCCCTTAGCTTAGCGTTGCCTATCTCATCTTGGCTTAGATTGTTTTATCTTAGCTTAGCTTAGCTTCATCTTAGCTCAGGCTTATCTTAGCTTAGCCTACCTTCATCTGAGCTGCGCTGAGCTTTAGCGTAGCAGAGCACATCATAGCATAGCGCAGCACAGCACATCATAGCATAGCCCAGCATAGCGTAGCATAGCGCAACTAACATAGCACAGCATAGCATAGCATCGCGCAGCACAACACAGCTTAACATAGCACATCGCAGCATATCATAGCATAACATAGCAGAGCATAGCATAGCATAGCAGCAAAGTAAAGGCACCGCAACAGCAGCGACCGCAAAGCAACTCACAAGCATTAGCATCGCATAACATAACATATCCAAGCATAGCATAGCATTGCATATCATATCGCAACATAGTTTAGCATATCATAGCCTAGCATAGCATAGCATAGCATAGCGCAGCTTATCATAGCTTGGAATATCATAGCATCGCATAGCTTAACATAGCACAGCACATCATGACATGTCATAGCTTATCATAACATAGCATAACATAGCGCAGCATTTCATAGCATACTATGGCACACCATAGCATAGCGCATCATAGCATAGCATAGCAACTAATGCTGCTTTCCTAGTGGCTCCAACTTCTAGGTAGGGTCGCACTGGGGTAATGTGCATGGTGGGCCGTCTTGGGAGAGGCCATATTGGGCCGCTTTGTGTACATGTTTGGCCGTCTTGGAAACATTTTGCGGTTATTATCTTGAGGGGCCATCTTGGATCTCGGGAGGCCATTTTGGAGGCTATCTGGGAGGCTATCTGGCCTCTCGGGGCCATATCGGTGGAGGCCATCTTGGAGGCGCCCTGGAGCCACGCTCTGGGCATTTCGGGTTACTTCTGAGTGGCACCTCTGCGCAGCATGGGCACGATCGCGCGCCGCGACTTTCAAATTGGGGAAGTCTTTTACCATCGCCTCCCGTATCTCTGTCACCGTCGCGCCAGACAAGAGGGGGCCTAATTCCCGCCCGGCGAGCTGCTCGTCCGAGGCCCCGTCCGCCGCGAAACACTCTACAGTGGATGCAATCTTACGCAGCAGCTTCTCGTCGACATGGGCGGGCGCGGAGTCGGGCAAAGGCGGCGGCTTTGGAGTGCACGGGCTTGGCAATCCAAGGAGCGCAGCTCGACGAAGGCTGTCAGATCCACAACATCCGATGTCAGGAACTTCCCTGCTCAAGTCAACGATGCCCTCGTGCACGTTAAGCTCCGAATCGCTCCACCGAAACCTCATCAAGAAACGAGTGCCTCGCTTACCTTGTTGGATGCTGGTGGATACTGCTTTGCGCAGCACTTCCCCGTTGAAATCTCGTTTCGCTTCAGCCAGCGCCCGCTGCATCCTCCTGACTTTCTTGGATCCAGCAACGTTTGGAATACCGTGGATACTCGTTGCCCGCTCTTTATTGTTAATAACTGCTAACCAGTCATCACGACGTGGCACTCCATCATCAATGTTTCCTACCATCCCACCAGTTACGACACCAGCGCACGCTCGATGGCAGGGATTCGTTGCGTGCCGCGCGAGGCGCTGCTTGCTGATACCACCCCCAGTCTGCTCGCACACCTGAAACTTTGCGAATATCAAGTTGCCAGTCCGTAGCAGGCCCAACTTCTGAAATTCTTTATCGTCCATCGCGACAGAACGCCAATTGCAGCCTATACCGAATGTCTGTCTATTGATGTCGATGCGTGCATCGAGCCACTCTCCAATATCCCGCTGCTGGTCCCTATCGGATCCATAAACGATCTCCACGAGCAAGCACGAACATGCTCCTCATCGGAAAGTCCACCCACGCCCTCCGGCCATGATGAGCACGGTGCGTCACCGGACATATCCACAACAGGCTATCACTGAATTGATTCAGCATCTTGGTAGCTGCGGCTGCTGTCGCCTCCTGGACCGCTGGCACGTGCCATTTGAGCCAAAATGGTTTCGGAGAAATGGGCCTCATGGGGCCTTCTTTTTTCTGGGTGGGGCCTTGTGGGCCTCTCGAGTCATCTTGGGTTGCTCGAGCCCGTCTTGTGGGTTTCTTGGGCCGTTTTTGAACAATTTGGAGCCCCTCGGACAGCGTTGAGGCCCTCCTGTGCTAGCCTGAGCCCCTCCAAAGGCGCTGTTGGGGCGTCTTTCGGCCCTCTACTAGGGGCACGTCTTTGCCCTCCATGGGGCCGTCTTGGGTTCCTCTGGTGACCATCTTGGGCCATCATAGGGGGATCGTTGCGCTACATGCGAGTGCAACTGCGAACAGGTAGTGCATGTGTAGAGCCATACAAACATGCAACACTGCATGGCGCAATGTGGGCTTACAATATGACCGGGTACCGTTTTCGCCGGCACATCAGACATACAGACGCGTGAACATATACATTTACACGCACGTGTGTGCCAAACGCATGCATATGCACATGCACTGGTATCTACCCATATGCTCATATATGCAGATACATACATACACGTGTAACTTACACGCATTCCTGCTCCCCTTCCTCCCTCTTCTCCTCCTCCTCCTCCTACTCATCCTCTGCCTCCTTCTCTTCCTCCTCCCAGGCACGGGCGCCCACGGGACGGAACCTCGGCCGACCTACCCAGCGCAAGGGGCCGTCAACGAGGTGCCAAGAAGCCCTAAGTGCAAGCACCGTCTTGCGAATGCAATGCTCAAGCCTAAACGCGTCCCCTAACCAGTTTGTCTGTAAGGGTCAAATATTATTGAAGAAGCGAGCAGGTGGATGGTCATCCCTGGAAGTGATGGGTCACCGTGACCTGGCGATTGTCCTCTATGCGTGTGCTGACGATGAGAGTAGGAGGAGAATGAGGAGGAGAGGTTCTACTTATGCACGCAGCAATCGCCTCATGATCAAAACACAGAGTACTACTTTTTGCGCTGCGATGGCGGATTCTGGCATCGTGCTCCAGCGCCCTGGCGCTGAGAATGATACTGATTCTTACCGAGCGCCTCGGCGCTCGATGCAACCAAATGTTACCGATCCACGGGGAAGACAACTTACCACAGCTGATCGCCACTGAGCGCCCCTCGCGCTCAATGAAGGTCACCATCGCGGTCGTTGCCGCAGCCAGAAGACTTCGCATCGGTCGGGCTGTCCTCAATCTGATAAGGCTCAAACAAGTCAAACCCAGAGTCGGAGCGGCCCAGGACCCTCTTGCCTTTAGACGGGCGAAGGCCGCCGAGAAAGTCTTCAGGATCAGGACGATCAGCAGGGCGCTTCAGACCACCACGATCGCCATGATGACCATCGCTGCGCCCTGGCGGGGGGATCGACGACATGGACGCTGGGCCTGGCGTGGCAGCGCCCACCTTCCACTGTGACATTTCGAAGAAATCACCACCACCAATGGAATCGTGGA